AGGTGAATAGTTTGGAAAATCGCACAATAGTTTGCCGTCATGATCACCGAGGACAGATGAGTTCGGCGCTTTCTTTTAGGAGTACACTGTATTCTCTATTTAGCTCATACGGTGAACTGAACTGAGCAAAATTATCCAGAAATTACACTACTGATAGACTTGTTGATGATGATGATGCACAATGCTCAGCTACTCACCAGTTTGTCTACTGCGCAAACGTTAGACATTTTAGTCCCTAGATGATCGGCTACCCACCGTGCCACAATTCTCACCAGGTTTGTTTATCAGTACAAAGTGAATGGGGCTTTTGTAGTTCTCAAGCTTATCTGGAAAGAAAAACAAACCTATTGCTCCATGTTTATGGGACTGTTATTTGCCAAAATTTGGATTGAAGATTGACAATCTTCAATCGTGTGATCGCACCCCACGTGTGTTTTCCTTTTCAGTGTGTGTGCAATTTGGAATGTGTGTGTGTGTGTGTGTGTGTGTGTGCGAAGCATGTTTTGCTGATATACCAGGCGTTGAATTGTTTCAATTTTTCGGCAAAAGCAGGATGTATGTGGTTTGATTCAAGTGTTTACCACTGCGCACCGACGAATATCGACTAGTGTTGCTAGCATACATAATCATATGAGTAATATGTGTTTGTCGGATATGAATTCGGTTTATGGAATGCAAAATAAGAATCATGCCGGATCCCGATAAGCTGAGTTCGGATTCATTGAGAATTCAACCTGCATGGCTACAGGTTCAATCCCCGGTGGAATTGCCGGGTGCGCGTTGTGAAGAAACCCGGCAATATTAAAACGGGTTTTCAACGTTTTCAATGCAAACCCTCACTAGCAAGATTTACGTACGTATATTCTGTTTTTTGTCAGTGCAATTCCATGTATACCTTTATTATACCTTTAATTTTTTAATGCAAATATAAGCTGTAAATTATGATGTTTTATTATGCTATTCATCGCATGGCACTTATGTGCAATTTGTAAGGTGAGTTTAATCCTCGATTGTTCGAAAGAATAGTAACAAGATCTAAAATTTCCTGAAACCCTTGCGACTCCTTCCTTCTATTCATTATGAAATTTATCCGTAAAATGCCTAACGATTAGTTTCCCTTTTTGGTAGGTGTGTTTAAAAAAAATACTCCAACCTATGGAACTTTAAATCCATCAGCATTGTGTTTCTGACAGTTGTTGTGACGATCGACATACCTAGATTTTGGCGCCCGCGTCAACAGTATACAGTCTCCGCTCAGTAGTAAAACTGATCACTTATCGTGGCTTCAAAACCGAATGACAGTAAACACTAGTGCTCTCTAACGAATTGTGAATGTCACGTAGTCGTTCGTCTGTCGAGCTGTCGTATGCAGAATAGTCTTACCTTCTACAGAGAGCTGGGAGCAGAAGCCCGGGAAAATCATTCTGTGCCAATTTAGCACTGTGGATAAACTCCGGTGGGGTAAATTATGAGATGACAGCGAATCGCCGAGTGGCTCGCTTTCGAACACACATACATATACAACCACTTTCATCCTATCACCCCCCCCTCTCCTTCCCCAATCCCCCAAAACCAAAATGATTGTGAAAAATTTTAACGGCTCCGTTGCGCGACTTCAGACGGAACAATTGTCTTGCAACTAGGACAGCCGGGGTTAATTTCCTTCGAAGACCAAATAATATCGACCTTATCCAGTCTACCGCGTTCTTTAATTCCAAATTTATCGATTTAATGTTTTCTGTCTGACAGTGAATCGATAATGTTCACAACGCACATGACCATACGATGAACTTGGAACTGATTGAAATCATTATGCGATGTCACTAGAACAGTAAGATCTTTTCTCTAATAATCACTGTCAAAATTGAGCTGCTGTGAACAAGTCTCTAAATTTGGATAAACAAAGACTGTAGTCAATAATGATTTACGGTGAAATTATTCCTATTGTTGACATGTGTGCAAATATACCCTCATGTGAATTATGTGGAAATTCAACAGACGGAGCTAAAATTGTGTTTGAGTATCATTGTGATGGAAGGTGGTATGATATATGCACCAGGGTTGAGTAGTAAGGGATAAAGAATACTGTCATCGAGCATCAGTCTGAATACCCTTTAAAGACAAAGGCCTCGATTGGTTTCGATATTTTTCGTGTTTCGAAGTAACGCTTGCAATAATGCTAGAAAGTACTGTGTGATCAATGCAGACCATAACTTGCCTGCGCCATTTGCACACTGTGAATCAACACTGATAGTCTGGGTGGTATGGTCAAAAATTGCAACCAAATGAGGCGTATTGGGTTTCTCAGCGTCAATCCGATATGAACTACATCAATTAGCTCCTGTGGCTGCTGACAACGCACCAAGTATTACGATCAATAACAATGACATAAATGGTGAGTGACAAAGTGAAAACCTTACCCCCATGTTGCAACGTTACCCCATATACCGTGTCCGAATTAGAAGTAGCATTTCTGTTTCCCTATACCTCATTTCCAATCAACAGATGTACCGAATTATCTAAACAACAGACGAACACTTGGTCAGAAACAGGAAAGCTCAGTCACTCTGTGTTGTTTCAAACAATGTGCACATCCGACAACACAGGTGGGAACAAATAGACAGCGCCGAATAAAGCAATAGTGGCCAAATTACAGCATCTATGTTCACACTACGTGTTCCTACACTGCAGAGCCCAATTACCTATTACAAACATGCATACAAATGCAAGAACGAAACTATAGTCCTGTGAACAGATAACTTTTCATTTTACCCATCAGAATGGCAAACAGACGCTGTGAACGCTGTGCGAACGATTATGGTAGCAAAGCTATCTACTGCAGGAAAGTGTTGACCCTGACCGAATTTTAGTCTCAGACCCCAAGGACTGGTGCGTACAAACAATCCTCAGTTAAACCGTTTTGACTACCAGCACACTGTGTAACAAAGTAATTTGGAACGAAATGACAAGGCTAGAGGGAATGAACCAGAACACTGTTTTTCCCCATGCAAATTTTCCGGTTGTTCTTTACTTGGTGTGGCTTCACTTGGTTGGAGAAGGGTAATCGGAATTACTGAGCTGTACTATCAAATGTCGCGGACACTTTGGAAACATTTCATGGTAGTATAGGATGAAGCCACTAATGAAAATTTAGTATGCACACTGCACAACAGTTATCAACTTTGTTCTCGTCTTGTTCGACCATAGGAGGCGTTCTTCTTCCTGGATCAGTACCTTGGGACCATTGTAACCCATGGTTAGTGATACTGAGTGATATGGTCGCGTGTCGTAAACATTGCCGCCCGTGCATCTACTCGATGTCCTTGCAACCTTGACACCGATTCGAAAGTTCCAATGTTTCATTAACTCCTAGATTAGAATAGATCGGCATGAGACAGCAACGGAAACTAGCACGCGAAAATGCAACTGAACGGAAACTGTGATGAAAGACTACAGGTAATCAAATGTCCTAAAGACGTATGCACAAAGCTTATTAAGGTACGAACACAGTCTTAAATTTACTTGCTGGATATATTCATTGTCTTATTGTTCACTTCATCGTGTCTTTGATTGAAATAGAGCGCCAAATTGCTGATCACACTTTTACGCTTAGCTAGAAAATCGGCTGAACAAATGCCTCTTGTGAGCAGTTTCTGACCAGCACTAACAGAAATCTACGAGTGAATAAACGGCACATGGGTTTACTGTGTTCGAACTATTGGACAAGAACACCACACAACTCTTAACTACGCTACGCTCACACGTTAAGTGATCCTTAAGCAATTCGCACCGGTTTGATGCCGTTTGTCTTAGTGCCGCGTTGAAACGGGTGAGACTTAAGCNTCATGCTGGAACATTATACCGGACAGGCATTGGTGATATTGAACGCGTAGACAATTCAACAGAATTTGCAATACTTGCTTTTCAAATGGCTCACTCGGGATTAGAACCGTGAATTTTGTTTAAGTGAAAACGTTCATCAACAAAAGCCACACTGGATATTACAGCAAACCTGGGTAGATCATCGTACCTGAGAATTTCGGTAAATTCTATCGAGATATTTCTACTGGTAGCTGACCGTTATGGGTACCGAATTCGAAATCAAAATGTAACATTTTATTGCGTTAATACAGATAGCATGCCGAAACTACTTTCTTGATTAGCTACAGTAGGAATCCAGTTTGTACAGACCCCGAGGGGTTCAGCGAACGTTATCCTGATGAATTACTCGTGATAAAAGCTTAAACTGGAATTTAAGAAGTAAAATATTTCTATTCCAATGGTTGAACAACAACACACTGATGTGCAGTTATGACCTATGTGAGAATTCGTTGCTTTTACTACCTGATTCAGAGGCTGAGCCTACTATTAGAGTAGATGGTCGCTGGGAATAAAGTAACTCAATCCATGAGATAGTAAACCATTTAGGATCTGAAACTGTATTGTAGGACTGCCTATCAATGACGCAACTAGTTAACCATTTTAAACTTGCATTTAGAACATGAAAAAGGAGTTCTAGATCAACAACAAAAACACCGCTTAGATGGTAAATGTTTGGATTAGCCCATTCGGTTTTCACAGGCACCAGGCATTGTTGATGATGTTCAGTGTGAGTTTCACTCCTTGGGAGAACTTTATTTCTCCACGATTGGAATGCATTGGAATGTGGTAGAAGTGCTTGTGATAACCGACAAAGATAACTGGACCGCTGTTTCGTTCGCTTTGGGACTTGTCAGCAGTGCATGTGTCCCTGTCAGGACTCGAACCGCGAACCTCCGAGTTGGGACTTCTAACCCTTACCCCCGCGCTACACGTTCGACGGTGATCATCTTGCGCGAATAGCTCGATCAATTTAGATGGTTTATGTTTGGATTACCCCATTCGGTTTTCACAGGCTCTTTGTCGGCTATCACAAACATTTCCACCGCATCTAAAAAAACACCACTTCACAGCGATCTTGAGGTTTACTCCTACAAATTGAGTAGTTGTTTGTGTATGCATCAATTATACAGTTTCCCTTCGGAGTTGACATAGTCTACGGAATTTACCTGAAAACATGCGACCAAATCACGTCGTAGCATATTGCACACTAAAACAAACAAATAGAAAGTGTTACCTACACCTGAGTTTCCTTTTTTCATCAAGTTTTTCGGACATTTCATCCGAGAAAATGAAAGGAGTTTGCATCAAGAAATTGATCGATAACTTATCTGAGCGAAAAACAAAACCCAGAGAGGAAAACAAACTCTCTCAGAGTGATTCGCGATGGTATCAGGACATCACTAAATTAGGAGAACACTGTCTTAGAGAAGAAAAACCATAGACTTCATCGACTTCGGAAATTGATGGCATCGTTTAGTTTCACACCTGACTAAAATAAATCCCAACGTAAACGTTTCTGAGGCATTCGAACCCTCGAATAAGGTTCACTGTCAGAAGCGGTGGGAATTCACCAGTGCAATCCTCTAACGAATCGGTGCAACGGCTTGAGCTTCGATGGCGCAACACACCACCTCACTAACCAGAGTAATCTCGATACTCGCGTGAGCGAACATGCCAACTGTGTGATCATTCTGAATCTCGTATTCGGTCTCCAGATGAAACCAACCCCAGTAATCTAGGATGTGAATTATTTGGTCTTCCCCTAGACAATTTTCTCTTTAATTAGTGCTGTGTACATTTTGATGCATTGACTCTATGAGACTGTTCAGGCAGTTATAAAAAACGCTCATTGTTTGGCACCAATGAAAGGTATTTCAATGACAGGGGTACTGTCTCATTTCGCCAAGTTCAAAACCTCAGAACTGCAACCAGATATCCACGTGAATGACGTTCGTTTGTTTTATATCATCAACCTCAGCAGAAACGTTTATCAAAGGTAAGGAATCGACTCCTTACATTCACTTGAAAAAACGGAGGACCGCAAATTGCACGTTCTTTGGTGAGTCAAAAGCACTCCCAACACTAATCAAACTGAGGCGAAGGACTAGGTAATTCGATACGCATTACATTGATAAAGCAGGGTTTTCAAATACATTTTAAAATAAGAGTATTGTGCGTTTCGAGCAGTTGACACGCGTTTTCATTTAAAAGGAGCACGATTGAGTTACTAAAGCAATGCAGTACAATTTGTACCCCCTAAACTCGAGGATCAATCTGTCCTCCTCATAAATGAAACCATCAGACCATATATGTTGAAAATGTTTTGACATGTAACTAAAATTCATTTTATTTCCCTCATAACGAAAATTTATTATTTTACTACAAAACTGCTACTGCATTTTACAGATTCTTCTGTGGGCTCTTCCCTATATATCTTGTGAGTCTAATCATCCAAGTATTGGCAAAAGAGGTCTGAGAAGTAAACGACGAATTTATCGGAGAGTAATCGCTAAATGTAAATTCGCGTTCGACAAACCGCAAACGTCAAAACACTAAAACTCACGTTTAATATACTACCTATGCTTTTTCCTATAAGAACGTGTACATTCAAGTTGGACAGTTAAGTGTGACAGGACGGGATAACATATTAATGAGGATAATGAACAAACGCAGGGATAGCGTGGTGTTAAATGACATACAAAAATCCAGCTCAGTGTAGTGGGACAGAAAACCAAAACCAAAATCGCAACTGGATTCGGTAACCAATTGCGTTCAGTAATTCGTCCTACTCGTGCACTTAAGTGGTACATAATTGGCCTACAGTTGATCTAAACGTTCATAACGTTCGCAAGTGTATGAATGGCGTCACGTGATCCACTCTCGTGACCATAGCAAGTGCTTACACGCACAACGAACACTAAGTTTAAATGAAATAATTGCGTCTCCTCCCCCACATTCTTCGAACGGTTTACCGAAGGTTGAACTGATATGGTACTGTTATTATGCCTGACTAATCTGTGCGTCATCTGGAACCCAGTGTTGACCTTATCACATCGAAACACCCTGAAAGGGCAGAGCAGAAATGACTTTTGCATAAAATCATAGTTCATGTATTTAATCATGAATCCCATTAAGAATAACTTTTGAGTGCTTTTAAATGCACCAAAGTTCTCAAAAACGATCCGTATGCTTGGACTGATGCAATTTGTTAGTTATACTCGCTTAGGACAAGCCAAAGTTAGCTGTTCGCCTGAAGCGACCCGAATTATAACATCTTGTTAGACGACACTGGATGATATTGACAGTTTATTGCTATTTAATATGTGGTGTTGAAACCCTGGCAGAGATAAGGCGCTTTTACATTTTCTGATGCGTTTACGTGTCTATTTTTTCACCCCCTATTCGGCCCGGTTATTAGATTTTCAGGGCTCGTCAGGGCACAGGCATGCACACATGCGGCCGTCTGCACAGTGTCTCATTGTTGAGTGTAACCTACTCCCTCAGTAACTGTGACCAAGATTGTTTCTAACTTCGCCTATTCATGTGTGCGTATGTTCTTTTTCTTCCATATCGTGAATATGTTGCACGATTTATTATTCAGACGACTCGGAGTGTGCTTCTAATGAACACGCTCTGCTGTATTGGTCAACATGTGCACAAGTGCTTACGTGTCTCATTGTGTACAAATCTTCACACACACACACACATGTGTATGTGTGTGTGTGTATGTTGCTGAATCACCAACACTGTGTTCTCCTTGACCGGACCCAGTTGAACACGCATCAACTTGCTTTCTCGAGGACATCAGAATGTCCGATCCGGTGGTGCGTTCGGCTTTGAATGACAACAGTCAATCAACATTTTGCATACACATTAGCTGACCAACACAGTACGGTAAAACTGCCTAAGTATGAAGAAGGCAAAGTGGATGAAAGGTCGCTGAAGCAGATGTATTGTGCCTCCCGACACAAGAGTTTTGAGCCGAGGTCAGATATGGGCTGTGGTATCGATTGGACGCTGACCAAAATGACCTGTTCGGCTAGAGGGTTATCAGTCAGTGATCTTCAATTGTTTTCTTCTCTGTCGATTTTTATTCTAGGCCTTGAAATGAAAAGCTTGGCCTTGTTCATCGACAATTCTTCTGAGAGTTTTCGCATCTGCGATCAATGACAAAGATTTCAATAGAGCCAACGTCAGTTAGAAAACTGGTGAAATGCTTCATCACATATCCTGGAGGAGATATTGAAGACATCCCCATGAACAATGTGCGGCAAGATAAAGCAACTTGTTGGTGGCACGCAGCCTCTACAATGAGTCACTTTTTCCAATATCAACCAATTCATAAAACCGGCTTATACTTACTGAAATTGTATTCGTCATACACAAAATACAAAGCTACTATGCCACTGCCCACCTGAAAGCCCTAGAAGCACTGAGCAATCTTTTTGTCTTTGTTAGGAATTATTAC